GAAATGTTCTAAGATTGAAGAAGGCCATCTATGGTTTAAAGCAGTCACCAAGGGCTTGGTATACTAAGTTGAGCACCACACTCTCTTCACTCTTACTACTTCCTCAGGTATTATTGTCCTTCTTGTGTATGTTGATGATATAATCAGCACAGGAAGTGACAAGGCTGGTATTCAAGCAACTAAAGACTATTTAAAATCTGTATTTGAGATTAAAGACTTAGGAGAAATGAAGTACTTCCTTGGAATTGAGTTGTGTAGATCCAAGGAAGGGCTATTCATTTCTCAAAGGAAATATACACTTGATCTTTTGAAAGATGCAGGTAGACAAGGCAAAACAGCTAAGATGCCTATGGAAGATGGATTTAAGGCTCCACGTGAGGGGAAGATTGAAGATAGTCCTCAATTCAAGGATGCTAAGCTCTATAGGAAGCTTGTGGGTAAGCTTATCTATTTAACTATTACAAGACCTGATATTTGCTTTGCTGTGAATCAGGTAAGTCAACATATGCAAGCACCAAAAGAACATCATTGGGAAATGGTGAACCGGGTGCTTATGTACCTCAATGGAACGACTGGTCTAGGGGAATGGATGGGGTGTAATGGAAGCACAGAAGTTGTTGGGTATTGTGATGCAGATTGGGCTGGAGATAAAGCTGATAGAAGATCTACCACAGGTTATTGCACGTTTATTGGAGGAAATCTTGTAACTTGGAAGAGCAGGAAGCAGAAGGTTGTATCATGTTCAAGTGCTGAGGTCGAGTATAGAGCAATGCTGAAGCTTACTAATGAGTTGGTGTGGATCAAGGGGATACTGAAGCATTTGGAGATTGATCAAGCCACACCAATGACTATGCATTGTGATAATCAAGCAGCTACTCACATTGCCACAAATACAGTGTTTCATGAAAGGACCAAGCACATTGAGGTGGATTGTCACAAGGTTAGACAGATGATAGGGTTGGGAGTCATCTTGCCGTGTTATACAAGAAGTGAAGATAAGTTGGCTGATGTTTTTACCAAGGCAGCTAGGCAAAAGACAATGGAGTCCATACACATCAGGTTAGGACTCATTGATCTCACGCCTCAGGGATAATCTATACACTCTCCTGATCATGGGGTCTCTACTCTTTTATTCATCAAGGTTTTGTCCCAATTAGGTTTTCTTTGATGAGGTTTTAATGAGGGAGAGCTCAGGGTCATTCCAAGATTGACTTGTTTCACATGGTCAAGCTTGAGGGGGAGTGTTAAGATGTGATGAATAAATGAGTGTTTAAGAAGGAGGTTAAGGGTGGTTCAGTATAGAAGAAGATGGATAAGTGTTTGCAAGGCAGAAATGATCAAGTGGTACGGACTGTACGGACCACTTGATCATTTCAAGTGTGGAAATGACCTTGGACAACATTCTGAGAAGTGCAAATTTAGGCTGAGTTGTACGGACCAAGAGATATCCGTACAAGTATGGTAACTTGTGGCTTAAGGTACTGATGGTACTATTGAGCTAAGGAAGAGAGGTGAAAGACTCCGAGTTATGAAGAGGCTTTGGGGAGCAAAGAATCTGAATGGGAAGGAGGCTCTCTCTTGTTACCGTTTGAAGATAAGGTCACTCTACTTTACAGCTGGTCCAAGGTGTAAAGGTGAAGAAAGCATCCGGTAAAGATCCCTTTGGTATCAAGCGTGTGGCTTATCTTGGCCATTCATTTCAAATCATAGGCGCCTAAAGTGTTGACTCCACATGCTTAATGTTGAAGCTTATCTTCTTCTTTTACACACAAAAACCCTTGCTTACCTCAGCTATATATATGTAAACTCATCATTAAGATTAATCAAGCAAGTATTATTCATTCTTCTCTATTCCCTTACAATGATACTCGTTTAAAGCTCTACTCTCTCTCAATATTCTCTCTAAATCTCATTCCTAAACACTCTTAATCTCATTTCTCTAAACATTTTATGGTATCAGAGCCAGGTTGCTCATAACCTTGGCGGTATTCTCTTGAATCTTCAGCTTCATTTCAAAGTTAGAATCTTCTTTCTCTTCCAAAAGTTTGAGCCATGGAGAAGACCTTGAAGATAGTGGTTCCGGTGACCCTTAAAGGTGGAAGCAACTACCGGTGACTTCAATACTTGAAGCTTATATCTATTGTGAGACAGAAAAGGACCTTTGGGAGACTCTCCAAAAGGTGTATGGAAACACTTCAAACCTTATCCGTGTGTTTGAAGTGAAGAGAGCCATCAATACTTTGGTTCAAGAAGAGGTTGAGTTTACCCAAACACTTCGGAAAGTTCAGAGCTTTGTGGTCTGAACTCGAGATGTTGAGGCCAAACACAACTGACCATGATGTCTTGATGGAAAGGCGGGAGGAGGATCAGGTCTTTGGGTTGATGTTGACACTGAATCCTGGATACAATGACCTGATCAAGCATCTCTTGAGGTCGTCTAAGCTTCCATTGTTTGAAGAAGTGTGTGCTCAGTTACAAAAGGAGGAGGGTTCACACGGGTTGTTTGGTGGAAGAGGAGAGTTGTCTCATGGCAACCAGGTGGAAGCTGTGCAAGCAAACAAGGCTATGTACAAGACAGAGGAAAGGAAGTATGGTGAAGAAAGGAGGTTTGGAGGAACTTGTGACCATTGTAAGAAGCTGGGTCAGAAGAGGAGTCAAGGCTGGATTCTCCATCCCCATCTCAAACCTGCCAAGTTCATGAGGGAGAGGGAAGCAAAAGCTCATCTCTCAGCTGATGCTAGTGAAGCCGGTTTATCTGGAGCAGGGCCTAGCAAGAAGGATGGTGAAGGGAAGGCCTTAACCACTAAGCATGTACCAGGAAAGGGTCAGGAGAATGACACAATCCGTAGGTCTGACATTGAGGCTTTAATCAAAGCTCTCAAGGATGGTAACACTCTCGGAAACACTCTTGGTTGCTCTCATGATGGTATAACTGAGTTATATGATAGTAGTACTTATTCTGCTGCTGAACATAATTACCTAGGTTGTTATCTTAGTAAGAGTGAAACACCTAGATCATTAGTATCTCCTATGTTGAATAAATCTTTAATCATTGATTCTGCTGCCACTCATCACATGATTAGTGACATCAGTCTTATAAAAGACATAGAATCAACTAATGGTCATGTGAAAATTGCTAATGGTGATAGGATAGAAATAAAAGGTATTGGTAAACTGAAATTATTTGATAAAGAATCTAGTGCTTTCTACATGCCTGAGTTTACTTCTAACCTATTATCAGTTAAGAAAAGTACTAATGATGTTAAGTTTCAGGATATTGAGAGCAATAAGTTGATTGGGAAAGGAGTAACCAAGGGAGATCTCTGTATGCTTGAAGATGTTACTAGTGTTCCGAGTTCTAGTTATCCGTTTACTTATGTTTCTGCTTTGAATAATGATGCATTGTGGCATTCTAGATTAGGTCATCCTCATGTTAGAGCTCTAAGTTTAATGATTCCAGGTGTGGTGTTTAAAAATAATAATTGTGAAGCATGTATTTTTGGCAAACATTGTAAGAGTGTGTTTCAAAAGTCTAGTAGCATTTATGAAAAATGTTTTGATATTGTGCATTCTGATGTTTGTCTAGAGATAATTACAAGTACTTTGTCACTTTCATTGATGAAAAATCTTAATACATCTGGATCACTCTCATTCAAACAAAAGATAGGCTGTTAGATGCATTTAAAAACTTTCAAGACTATGTGACTAACCATTATAATGCTAAGCTTAAGATTTTCAGATCAGATAATGGCGGAGAGTACACAAGTCTTGCCTTTAAACAGCACCTAGCTCAACATGGGATACTTCACCAAACTAGTTGCCCTTATACTCTGCAGCAAAATGGAGTTGCTGAGAGGAAGAATAGGCATCTTATGGAGGTTGCTAGATTAATGATGTTTTAGAGAAATGTCCCAAAGAGGTTCTGGAGTGATGCTGTGATGTCTGCTTGCTATTTGATCAATCGGATACCAACCAGAATCCTTGAAGACAAGTCACTATTTGAAGTTCTTAACCAGAACCAGCCATATCTGCATCATCTCCGGGTCTTTGGGTGCCTTTGCTTTGTACTTGTTCCAGGGGAGTTGAGAAACAAAATTGAGCCTAAGAGTACAAGAGCTATGTTTATTGATTATTCTACAACTCAGAAAGGATATAAGTGCTATGATCCGAAGACTAGAAGAGTGCTAGTCTCAAGTGATGTGAAGTTTATGGAACACAAGGGATACTATGAAGAGAAGAGATGGGAAGATTTGGAAGACTTATCCAAACCATCTGATAAGGCTGCAAGCCTCAGAATTATTTTGGAGGGTCTTGGTATCAATATAAACCAGGATCAGGGAAGGCATGGAGCGCCTAGTCCCACTGAAGCTGAAGAACCATCTCACCTTGATCATGAGGGAGGAGAGGAACCTGAAGGTGGATTACATGAAGAAAGGGATGATGTTAGTCCTGACCAAGGTTCAATGGAGGAAGAAGGTGAAATTGATAGCTCGCAAGAAGGAGGAGGCAACATTGATAGTTCTCAAGGCCAAGAGTCTGGTGTAGAAGAAGAGACACCTGTGGAGGTTTCATTGAGAAAGAGCACAAGAGTGAGGAAGCCACCTAGTAATTGGGTTAACACAAGAGTATACTACAATGCTCGAGCAGTAGCTCATCCTAGTCAAGCAGTTTGCTCCTTTGCCGATTCCCAAAAGAGCATTGTGCCTTCATGACTAGTCTAGATGAGAGTCATGTACCAAGATCTTATGAAGAAGCTATGGAAGACAAGGAATGGAGAAGCTCAGTTGGTGATGAGACTGAAGCGATGATAAAGCTTCATTCCTTTGCTTGATCAATCTCCAAATGCTTCAATATCCCCTTGATCCACACCAACAACTTCTGTGAAGAAGATGCTTCACTCTCGCATTCTGCATTTGATTTCTTTGGTCTGCATCAACAAGAAAAGTGAATTTAGATTCACAAAAAGTGTGAAAATGTGTGAGGAGAATCAAATAACTTACCTTGCTTTGCGTTTCTTCTTCACGGCAACAATTTCGGGTTCTGGCTCAAGAGATATATCAGGTAGTGCAAGAAACTTGCATTCGAGAAGAGCAGGACGTTGTGACTCCCGATCAACAAAGTTACCTACAATAGCTTCTTTTCGTAATCTTGTAGCTTCTTGTAAAAGAGGCACTTGGTGAGGATATAATTGCATCCACCTCCTCCGGCATTGATTATTAGTACGACGAGGTACATGTGAAGTGATTTTAGACCAGTTACCAACCTCATGTTCTGACATTGCTTCTCTCAACTTTGCATCTTCTTCCTTGGTCCACTTCCCATGATTTACATTGGGGTCTAAAAAATTTGCCCATATCTCTCGACACTGAGTCTTTGTCCGTCCAGGAACAAAGCGCGCAATTTTATGCCAGTTTTGAGCTCCAAAGAGTGTCATAGCTAGTTTCAAACGTTTTTCTTCCTCTAAGCTGAATTTCCCTACCCTGGTTCTTGTAGGGTGGAGAGTCTTTTTCCATCTGAAAGTATAAAGAAGACGAGAATTAGATCAACCATTCAACTAAGTATCTGAATTAAGACAGCAAAAATGACAGGACGATGACCTGTAACACATTCTAATCCTACTACATGATTATCATTAATGACTGAATATTGAGGTTATCCCACATCGACTAAACATGGACTTGATGTGTGGTTTAGAAACCCGTATTAAACAAACTAGCCCTTAAGAAAATTTGATTGGACTGTTATAAAACAATTTCAACTGACAAAACTGCCAGCAAACTAAATTCATAAATAAGTGAGAGAATGTAGAAGATAGCGACTGACCTATTCGAGCACTGAGTTCCAGCTCGTCCTACTAATGTATTTGCAACAGTCTGCCAGTCTTTTTCACCATACAACTCCACTGTGGCACGGAGTTGGTCATCTTCCTCTGGAGTCCATTATTTTCTTAATATGTCTGCATTCAAGCTTCTCTGATATCGAGCCAAACATTGAAACGGGGTCCGATTTGTCCCTAGTGACACCGCAATGTCAAGCCAGTCTGTAATACCCTTTTCTTGGATGATTAAGCGAAGGTTATTTTCCTCCTCAGCAGTCCACGGACCATGGTTGATTAATGGATCTTCGGAGCTCATCCACGTACAACACAAAATTAGGAAACTCTATCAAATTCTAAAATGAAGAGAGTGTAAGTATATCGAATGTGCATCCGTTGATGATTGAAAGCTGATTTATCTTACTAGAGGAGAACTTACCGAGCTTCACATTCTGCAGCAGAACGGTCTTTGAAGTACATCAAGGCTAACTGATACCAATTAACTTTCGGAAGAAACTGCCGAATCATCTGTGGTGTGATCTCAAGATTTTGATCGATTCATTAATGGCGTCTATATCATCTGAAGATCCTTCCAAGTCACTGTTAAGAAATTACTTTCAGTCAGTTCTTTTGCAAACTTATAAAAGATGAAACTTGTAATTATAACTGCCTAAGAATAGATCTTCAGTAGCAAATCTAACGGTACTTAGGCAGAAAAATATGATATCACTTCAGAAGAGAAAGAGCAAGCAGTACCTGGACCGTTCTATAGCTTCTAAAAGCAGTGTTTCCTGAACTTGTTGTTTTAGACCTTTTGCAAGATTTTTGTTCTCCTCAGCAGAACAACTTCTACGATGCACTGAAACTGGATGTGTCTTTAGTACCATCCTATAAGTTTCAACACACGGGTTTTCCGGTGGGCCAAACGTCAAAGGAGATATATTTTTATCGTTATCCTACAAGAAAACAAACAGAATATGAGAAAACGGAACATTGTCCATCAGGTCAACGCGTAAGCAGTACATTTTTTTAAGAACTGCAAAGGCAGGAATGATCAAAAATGTGTTTACCTCTGAGCTATCATGAGGCCCACATTTTGGTGTCGAGATTAATTGGAGACGAGGATCTTTCCCCTGAGAAAGCACTTGTTCAGCTATTCTCTTGAAAGAGGCTTGAAAGTCTACTACTATCTTAACATTCTTCTGGTGCTTCTCGCTCTGCTCGATCCTCGCTTCAATTTCAGTCAGCTTCTTTCGAAGAAACTTCTGATACGCCCTATTCCTCCGGATAGCCTCAACAAAGGCATGTGCAGCTTTAGGGAAACTTGATGATTGGTCAAGAGGTGCGGTGGCATTGTTCTCATGAAAATGAACAGAATCACCAGCAGTTTGTGTTCCCTTAGAATCAGGCAATGTGACAAAAAATTTCCCCTGATCTGGAAAGCTTTCACAAGTATTAGACCTACTCAATATTTCGCTCGAAGATTCATTATCCTAGGCATGTACCAGCTTTTTTTTCCCGAGAGAATCATTCATAAAAGCTCCATCTTTATCTACAGAAGAAGAAAAAAAAAACAATAAGAAGTTACCACTAAAGCACAAGAAGTTACCATCATTCATCATATTAACAAGCAAATATAGGAACAGGGAGAGAGCTTCTACTAAAAAACTACACATATATACCTAAAGGGACAGTTAATCACACTGAGTCTAAGTGTAGCTGAGCCTTATACCTAGCTTCCACTAGACGCAAAATTATCTTAATCATTTGAAATAGAGTTCTCTCATAACTATGGAACAGTATCTAACGAATCAGATATCAAAACAATGAATTAGATTAGATATCACTCACCAAGATTCGCATAAGCAGAGAACCGCCTACGAATAGCACGAAGCGATTCAAAAGAATCATCATCATCGTCGTCGTCGGAGAGACTCAGGGGAGGAAAGCGCGAATCCATCGAGAATGCCAGCTGGCTCTTGAGGCTCCATAGCAACTCGAAGTCGTCTTCGTCGCTCTCCGAATCTAAGGAAGTGGTAAACCCACGGGAGGAGGACCCGTCGACGGAGCTAATTGGCTCTTGAGGCTCCGAAGCATCTTGAAGTAGTCTTCTTCGTTCTCCGAATCCGACGCTATCTCTCCCCCTCCGCCGCCGCCGCCGCCGCCTCCTTCATCCGGTCCAACATAACCGGATTTTGGAATAAAATCATCGGAATTCGACTCGGGGACAATACATGCGCGTCTTAGGTCTTCGAGATCTTCAACGATGTCGTCATCTTCTTCTTCTTCTTCTTCTTCGTCGTCCTCATCAAACTCGTACAAGGTTCCGCGATTCATCGTGTTACAGAGAGATAAGAAAACGTGTATGGGAGAAACGGCTGCAGTAATAGAAAGGTTTTATGGCACCCTTGCTTGCGCCTCCTCCGGGGAGAACAAGAAGAAGCTTCTTATGGCGCGGCACCAGCATCAGACGGATCCAATTGAGTCGGTTATGGTTGGATTCCTGTTAATGGGCTTAGACCCATAAATTTGAATTTCGAAAAAAAGTGTTCATTTGTATTGATTTTTTAAGGATTTTTAATGCCAAAACCCCTCAATTATATTTAATTTGGATGGAAAGCCCTCAATTATTGATTCAGTGTATAAACCCCCCAAGTCACTTATCTTAATGTAACAGCTCCCTCCGTTAGCTGCACCGTTAAAAACAAAACGATATGTTTTTCTTATTTTGTAAACTACCTGATTTCTTAATAAAAACAACACATCACTTATTTAAACATCATGTAGTTTAAGCTGGGTGAGCCAGCAAGAGATCACCAGCTGAGCTTGAAGTAAGCACTCAGATGACTTAAAATATACATGGATCTCGACAAGGTTTCTTTTATGTTCCCATCCCATGTCGCTGTTGATTACTAGGATGAATTCCTTAAACTCATAGTTCAGTTAAAATATTGCAGGTGGAATGTATAATGACAATCTTGATATACAAAAACCTTGTGAAAGGTTATTTGGCACACGAGAAAAGTGGTAGTTTTTAAGCAAGCAAGCTCTTTCCGTAAACTTAAAACGGGAAGCATGTTGGCTCATAACGTTTACCTTTTACGTGCAGGCCCTGCAACTTGCGGGTTGTCCTTGTTGTTGTGTTAACTTTAACTTCTTTTTTGATCGTAAGATAGTTTTAATATGTCATAAGAATGATCAAAATACGATCAGGACATCCAGATTCTTACAGTTTATCTCTATAGTTACAGGAATTGTTGGCTTTTGTGCCTTTTACATTTTCTTTGACATTTTGTAGCAGTTAAAATCAGTCGACTTATTATGAATGCTTGAATGTTGTGAAATAACACACTCATAGCGAAAGAGAATGCATTTCAAAACGTTCTTTGACACTTTGCAACAAATTAAAACCAACTAACGGTTATAAAACATCAAGTTGTGAAAGTGTATAATTCTTGAAGTAGTAAACAGGGAGGACAAAAATACAAACTCTCAAAAGACTACAAAAGTCTTTTCAGAAAAAAAAGACACAAGCTTTTCAGGAACTGTGTTTTGAGTATTGTAAGGAATCAAGATGTTGAATCCATCTTCAGTCGTAGAGATGATCATCCCTGGAATCTGGTTGTGCCAGTGGAGTGCCTTCTTTTGTACCTGGTTTTACGGAACAGAAATACATCACATTAGATATCTCCCTGTGAGCGAAAAAAACGGAGGAGGTGTGTCTTGAAGTGTGTTAACTTGTTCCTTGGTCTGCGCTTTGAACTCTGCTTCCTCTTCTTCATCCTTCTCCAGTGATAAATTCCATATCCTGAAGATACAACAAATATCCAAAAACCATTACATAGTTTCTTTATGTGTTTTTTGTGTATTATCTGTGTGCTTCTTCCTGGGTATTATGTGACCTAAATTCATTGTGACTATCGATCTATTTACACTAAAACTCAACACAAAGTTTAAACATCAACAAATACATCGACAGCTATTAGGGTTTTTGGAATCAAAATCAACAGAGAGTTGAAAAATAAGAACAGAAATCGAAAACATAAGAACCAAAATAACTACTCTAACTTACCTAACGAAGAAGAAGATGATTGGTGAGAATGAGAACTTACAAGAACCCTAAAAGTTTTGATTTGAGGATTTTAGAATAAGATGAAAAAGAGATACGAATGCTGTGTTGTTTTTTGGTCATAATGAAACACTGTGTTTTGGACTTAATGACAAATTACAATTTTTAACGTCACTGTCGACCGAGGGGTCAAGTTATTAAGATAAGTGATTTGAGGGGTTTCTATGTTCAAACAATAGTTGAGAGGTTTCTACCAAAATAAAACATAATTGAGGGATTTTGGTATTAAAAATCCATTTTTTAACGATACGAATTCTTTTTTTTTTAACAACAATACTCCTTTTATTAGATCAAATCGTATAAGGGTAACATAAGTAATCAATTAGCCAATAAGGAGGCATAACAAAGACTTCAAATACATTAGAACCTAATAACATGTGCTTTGCTAAACCATCAGCTGCTTGATTTCTTTCTCTGTTGATCAAACCCAAAGAACAAGAAGGGAGCAAACCAATCCAATATCGTATATCGTAGATCAAATTTCCAAGCTCCATATTCTCCTGATAACCATTAACAATTCGAACCAATTCCTGACAATCTGTTTCAAACCAAACTTCCATCCATCCTCTTATCCAAACTTGTTGCAGAGCACAAATAAAAGCATGAGCTTCTCCTTGTAAAGAAAATCACTCTCCTTCCACTTTTGCTCCTCCCGAGAGCACCATTTTCCCAGAGTGATCTCTTATAATCCACCCACATCCCACAACTTCCTCCCAATTCTTGTAGCTACAATCAATATTACATTTCATCCAACCGAGAGGAGCAGGTTCCCATTCTGAAGACCGTACTACAGTAGACTTTTTTATTTTGCTCATTCTCACATGTTGAACCCATTCACCATTTGCATCTTTAGCTCTTCTCACATCCTCAATGAGATGCACATTTCTCTTTTGGAAAAGAAACTCATTTCAGGATTTCCAAATGTACCATACTGTCCACCATGACTGATAACACAGATTGTAATCTTCTTTTAGGTCCTCCATTAACTTGAAAATCAAAAGAAAATTCTCCTCCAGATCACCCGTAAACCTTGTAGCTAAAGGAGAATTAAAACATCTCCAAATGGCTGAAGCGTGGGGGCATAAAAACAAAATATGGTTGATAGTCTCCTCTTAATAACAGCATCGTTGACAAGTGGGACCTATCTTTATACCTCTAGAACAGAGAGCTACATAGGAAGGAACGCTCCAGAGATCACATTCCAAAGAAACTGTTTGATCTTTGGCAATATATGAAGGTTCCAAATCTCATTCTTGATAGCAATTGATCCTGGGGGAGCTTGAATTGTTTCTTCCGTATCACGTAGATCATGTAAAGCTGCCCAATACCCTGACTTCACATTATACCTTAGATCCTTGGAATAACACCATATAAGCTTATTCTTTTCAGCGTACTTTGAAAGCTTAATACCTTAGATCCTTGGAATAACACCATATAAGCTTATCCTTTTCAGCGTACTTTGAAAGCTTAATACCTTTGATTAAATCCACATCTTCAGGACTAAATAAGTCTTCAAGTACATTAATCTTCCACGTTTTTTAACTCTGACATATCAAATCTGATACCATGAGATCTTCACGGGCTGTGATATTTGTGATTTTCCTCGAAGGAACTGTAGGTAACCAGTGATCCAACCACACACTTGTGTCTTTACCATCCGCTATCATCATACGTAACCCTTTGCTAAGCAAATTCCTACCAGCTTGAATAGATTTAAAGCCATAGGAAGTATTTCTTTTATTCGACGTCTGTAAGAACGACAACGAATAATAATATCTCCCTCTGTAAATTCTACTTAGCAAAGAGTTAGGTTTTTGATAGATTCTCCAAGCTTGCTTGGCCAACAAAGCAATATTAAAGGTATACAAGTCTCTGAATCCCATACCTCCTTCTTTCTTCAGAAGGAAAAGCTTTTTCCACCAAAACTCAGTTAAAAGAGAATTAATCTCTTCACAAGTAGTCTTAGGCATCAAGAAACAGCTCATTGGATAAACTGGTTTTGCTTGCAAGACCGACTTTATTAAAGTTTCCTTCCCTGCTGGCGATAAGTATTGATTATACCATGGCTTTAGTTGAGCTTTAATCTGATTAACCACACCTTCAAACTCCTCAACCTTACTTCGTCCCAACTGCTCTGGGAGCCCCAGATACTTACCAGTTCCCCCAACGTTCTGGATTTGGAGAATATGATGAATATGATTACCTACTGTATGATCAACTCTGGAACCAAACATAATTGAAGATTTCTCAAGATTAACTTTCTACCCTGAAACCTCTTTATAACACTTTTGTATCTCTCAGCCATACATTGAGCATTACCAACAGTTGCTTTACAGAAAAACAAAGAATCATCCGCAAAGAGAAGATGGCTCACAATTGGGCAGTTTCTCGCAAGTCTCATTCCTTCGAAACTTTTCAACTGATGTGGTCTGAATATCATCTGACTCACCTCTGCACACAACAAAAACAGATAAGGAGACATAGCATCAACTTGTCTAATACCTCTGGTTGGTTTGAATCTGCCATAAGGAATACCATTAATCACCACTGAGTAAGAAACAGACCGAACACAAACCATAATCTTCTTGATCCGTTTAGTACCAAAGCCTAACTGTTCCATAACAGATACCAAGAAGTCCCACTCAACACGATCATAGGCTTTACTAATATCAGTTTTAATCGCCATGTATTGCTCAGCACAATCCTTTTTCGACTTCAAAGCATGCATTAGCTCATGAGCCACTAAGATGATGTCTGAAATTTGGCGGTTAGGAACAAAGGCAGCTTGAGAGTCGGAGATAATTGCCTCCAGACAACCTTGTAGCCTCAAACACAGAATTTTAGAGATCAACTTGTAAGCAACAGAACAAAGGCTGATAGGTCTAAAATTACTCATATTCTCCGCATCAGGAAATTTGGGAATGAGACAAATATTGGTATGGTTAATATTAGGTTCGAGCTCTCCCGTGTCAAAGAACCTAGACACCATCTCACATACATCATACTTAATGACATCCCAGAATTGATAGTAAAAAGAAGCAGTAAAGCCATCTGGACCCGGAGCCCTGTCAGAACCAATAAGAAATAAAGCAGATTTGATTTCCTCTTCTGTAACTTGTTTGATAAGGTTCTTGTTCATATCTTCAGACACCTTAGTTGGAACATTAGGGAGAATATCATTTAAAGGAACTGTATTAGATTGAGCAAA